AAACATGCACTACACCAACTAGTGACCTTAGCAGGTAATCCGCCCGGAAAGACGTACGATGTCTCAAGAAACCTAGATATAACTCCAGTGGCCTGTCGGACCATCTAGTGCCGCCTGCTCCAAACTTTGTCAGCGGGAGGGTACGTTCGCGGGGAATAACATCATCCAGGTGTAGGCGGAGAATAGCTACTCACGACGATCACCTAATTAGCCAAGTACAACGGAATGGCAAGTTTATTCTCTATTGCCCACTCGCAGTACAAGAGGATGGCACGTATAATTCAAGAGAATACATCATTTAGCATTCCTCTTGTGACATTAGACACTTTCAGTTGTATTTGGAGAATTAAGTAATTTTGATGAATAACCCTTAAATTCCGTCTCTGAAATATTCTTCTCTGAATTGAGAATATATTTATTTATTTTTTCATTTAGAGACGAGTATTTGCGTTAACACAAACATTACCATACAATTTCGTGAAGTCTGTTAATGCGCAAATACCGTTATAAGGGAGATGCCCACGATACGTATGTTCCCTTTTAAGCGCTCATTTCTTCCCCTTCTCTGCGCATTTAATGTCTGCTGAAACAAGTTCTTTCCCTAGTCACTGCCAGTTCGTCAGACTGAGATGTTGCCCGTGGGGGAATACATTACTTCATTAGAAATCGAGACACGTAACTTAAATAGAATATCACCTCGAGGTTTCCCGCCGAGAAGCATTCCAGATTCTGTCCGCAAGAGAGCATTATCACGCTCCCCCCCTCATCCCCCTCCCCGCGTTAGTTATCGCGGAATCACGCCACGTTTTGAACACCCGCCATTTGCATGAACATTTATCACGGCTCATTCGTCAGGGAATTTATTTAAATGAATTTGGAGGAGAGAGTTTGCAAGACGTCGGGACAATGCCACTCAAAATTAGCGTCTTTAACAAAGGGCGCTACAGATGTTCTCTCTTGAATTCGTGTCTTTGAGGATTCTCCAGAAACTCGCCGCTGAAAGCGCCTCTTCTGCATTTGGTAGCTTGGCGCCGGAATTGTATTTTTTGTATTCATGAAAGTCGTGACGTGTAATTTATTCTATGAATTATGCCGCTGAGAATCCTTTGTTCACTTGATGAACAAACTTATTTTTGTAAAAATATATTTTTAATGAAACCTATTTTCGTTGAATACACAATTACTTTCCTTCCGCTTTACGGCATATTATTTATAAGAAAAATAATATTATTCTACCAACCCAAAATTTTGTTTGCATCTAACGCTTACCAACTCGGAGGTGCTGCTCACATGAATTTACACAAACAACTAGGAAGTACATGATAATTAACATAACGGCTAATTTCATGTTCGAAGAAAGAAAAACATTTCGCTCTCATACATAAACAGAACGAAGAGACCGTGCCCCGAATCCCAACAGAGAAAACATCAATTGTTTTCATTGCATTCCTCAACGTATATAGCCGCACTCAACAACACGTGACACCTGCAATTGAGGATGATCACCTCGTTAGTGCCGACAGTCCCCGCTCCTGTTAGAGCAGCACTGTCCCAATCGTCGCGACGGTTGATGCATTGACGCTACACCGGACAAATGAACATCTACCGCGCACCGCAATTGGACCGCGGTGATAAATTTAATTTGTGGCGACTACACATTCCCTCTCCATCCCTCCACCGCTTTTTAGGGAGGTGCAGGAGGGGAGTCCTGTTAGCTTTCCGAAGAGGTAACTCGAGCGTTATGGGACAACGAGGTTTTTCCGTCTCGGTAATTCTCCAACGTTTCATGAATAGCCCACTCTCTCGCGGAAATTCTTGGGTACATGGTGTTCTGACTTCTCTGAGAGTCATGGATGCACTGTCGAAATATCTAGCAAGACAATAATAGAGAAATATCGGGGATGTTTTGTCAATTTTTAAATGTATCTCATATGACTTTCAGATCATAATTATATTTATTATTATTATTATTATTATTATTATTATTATTATTATTATTATTATTACTATTATATTTATTATTATTATTACTTTCTTAATAAATAGGATTCATTTCCACATTAATGTTTGTCTTTCAACATTATATTTTGCACATTATATTTTCCACATATTTAAAGTGGTATCTTTTGTTTCACTTCGTCTTTTTGTTTGGCCGCACGGCCGACCGTATTTAATTATTTTGTGTTTCCGGGTGACCCAACTATAATGGTCGTTATTACGTAAGTATGGTGCCTGTCATATCTCGGGAAATGGCGGTATTCCTCACTGTCAGATGCGGTAAGGCCGCTCCACAAGAGCCAGTGAACGGGAACGGCAACGCAAACAGGAACGTAAAAAAGACGGATGTCTCAGGCATCACGACATGACGGGAACGCGAAGTTTGACGCGAACGGGAAGATCTGTCAACATTTATCTTGGCCTGGGATTGGGAAGCCTTTCGACCATTGAAAGTGCGGCAAATTTATTTAATCTTAATTTCCTAACTTAAATATCTGAATTGTTGGAATTCTGATATTATTTTTTGACGTAAATAAATAAGAAATAAAAGACTTATCATGTTTATTTACTGTCAACTTAATATGTTTATTTAGATGCCGGATTTCGACGGCTTTGCCTTCATCATCGCCACAAATATAATCAACATAAAATACCATGTAAATGGAAAATAATACAAGGTGGGGAAATAATATAAGTAATAGATACAATTAAATTTATAATAATTAGCAAACTAAAGGGCAGCAAGAAGGTTTCTAGTTGGTCGAGCGCGCGACACTGGTCTGGTGTGGAGTTGAAAGTGTTTGCGATATTGAAGTTAGAGCGTGAATTTACGAAGTTACGATATGAAGCGGTTTGGTTATTAGTCATTTGTCAGTAATTATATTTTAATTAGTTTTTATTCCTATTAATACTTTGAATTAAAATGTCCACAAAAAATATTTGTTTGCATATTTCGTTAAATACATTAGAGTTGTTTGTTTATTGATACAATTTTAGTTCGTCGTATTTTTCGTATGTTCGTAGTAGTTTTTGAATGTTTTCATTATGATTTTTTCTAATTAATATTTATATTGCTTAGTATTAACTATTCAAAGCAGCAAATGAAAACACACCATACTTATGACAAAGCAAAGAGTGAACATAGTAGTGTAGCTAGCAGTGCTTTGCTTGCAACTGTTTCTTAAAGTTTTCTTTTTGCTGCTACTGGTTTATAGCGCTATTTACACCAGCATTCACTAAACTACCACTCTTGACGAGAGCTTAAAGCTTGTCCTGGCAGGGGCTCTGCCGCGCTGGTGGAAGATAGCTCGTTGGGGAAAACCCAACTAGCCGACCGTAAGTCGGCAACGGATCTCTCCATCAAGCGGGGGAGAACCACCGCCACCACCCAAGGAAAAAAATGTGTTACACTTACGGGACTAATGACCCTAGTATTTGACGTGCCCGCAATCACTAACAATCAATCAATCCAGGTCACGTCACAAGGATCGTTAATGAGCAGTTGCCTCCTATTAAAAGGATGAGAAAGTTTCAAATTGTCCTGTATTGTCTACGTAGTAATTGGTACGAGAATGGTAGGGATGGCAGTTCAGACGAGCGTGCAGAGAAGGGCGTCGCATTGCGTCCGCTGCGAATAAACGTCACTTCCCGTGGAAAATATATCCACCATACTTACGGAGCCAATGACTTTAGTTGGCGCCCGGAGACACTAATTAATTATTTGTGACGAACCTGCCCGTCGAAAAACGCTGGTGACGTGTGTGTACCGAATCTAGCCTGGTCCCACAATATGTCGAGACACGAGAGTGTTCAACGTAGTGGAAGATGTCAGGTTGCTTGCGCTGAATTTATTTAAATGTGGGCACCAAGCGCGATACCAACCTGCCTCCTGCGCCACTCTAGAGTTCTCAAGGGGTGAGTCACTCTGGGTCGGGATAATGCGCATGGTCTTTGCTCACCGTGACAAAGGTCTTTCGGGCGTTCTGGATTTCGTCCGCAGAGCGGAATTCGCTTGAAAATAGTTCTAAATAATCCACCCATCCCAGTGAGGATGGCATTTGGTGGAGCGAAACTTTGTAGCCTTCTTATTGCTATTTCGAATAGATCTTGGAATTTTTCAAAGAAATCCGTCTTTTTTCGGTGAAAATAAAAATAGCCTCTCTCGATGGATTTCAGACAACCTCTCTACATAGATTTCAGACATCATCTTCCTTCTCATCTCTTCCCTGTGTTACCATCGCTTGTGTGTGTGTGTGCCCTTTGGTAACGTGTGTGTTGCCCTGTGCTGCCATTGGTTTCTTAGCTTCTTCTAGAATTTTCTATGAGGTTGTGGATGCCTATTGGTCGGCCCAGTTCCGACTTTGATGAACTACATAATCTGATCGTTCCAATAGGTTGTCATTGTTTAGCTTCTGTTGAAGATTGGCGGCCGGGGGGAGGGGACATCTGGAGACATTCCCCATTCTGGAAGTCTGAGTGAAGAATTACAGCTAGTTCCAAAGGATTAGTGAGGGGCATTTGCGAGACAAAGATAATCCGAGCTTTGACGGAAACGCGGGTGTCAACTGCGCGAGACACGGTTTGATGAAGGTTATTTTCTTTTGGAAGCGGATGTTGCGGAAGAGGGGTGGCTTCAGAATATTTTGTGCAAGGGGGAGGGGGGCCTTAGAAGAGCAACGCTGTCACCCTTTGTCGTGTTTTATGAGTCTTCGGGTCAGCCAGCAGCTGCGCATTACAAATATGACAGGGGGATGAGAGATTCGGGGAAAGTGAGAGTATGTCAAATAGCACACTTGAGATGTCAAAACATCTCACAACCAGTCATGTGCATACAAATTATTAATGCAATGCTTCTTAAGTGTAGTTGATCTTCATTTATAAGATACTATAGCTAATCATTGTTTTCTCCAAAGAACGTATTGGTTGTTGGGGCTGGGCGGTTCAGACCCGCGTGCAGGGAATGGCATTACGTCGCCCCGCGCCGCGCCGCGTTGGCCACCTCGTTAGACGCGCCGGGCCGCCATAATGAGGCGCCCAATAGGGCTGTCAAGATACCGCACGGGGCTGACGGCGGCATCAATGCTCGCGCCGCGCAGATACACTCCATCGCGCGCGCCATCTACCGGGCGTAAATTAGCTCGACGACGCCGGCGCTTCTGACGGGCGCTTCCCGAAGCACAGCGCCTCCCTCCCAACAATGCCTTCAATGGAAGAACCCGCTGCCGCCGCCGACATCCCTTGTGAGTTCCTGGGGAAGGGTCTTCAGCCGACTCCGCTTTGATGTACTGTCGCCCGGCCCCTCGAGGGCCTTTACGGCGATCGCTGGCTCCTCTCTGTAGGTGGTGGCTGCTTGTTTGGAGAACACAGATGATGGATGGCAGATGGGTGATACTTTTAACAGCGCGAAAATTTGAGTTTTCGAAGAAGGAACGAATGGTCTTGTGTTGTTAAATTGCATTTTTTATAGTATGGAGGGAAGTATTACAGAACAATTATAAACATTCGAACGCCTCATTTTAGGGCTAAAATCTGTTTAGAGGTTTTTTGAGACGATAAATGTCAATTTAAAATAAACAAAATTTAAGTTTTTGTGTGTTAAAAGACAAACATTATCTGTTTGTTACTGACTTTACTGATTTCAAATCTCTTTACAGAACTTTCCCATCAGCCATGGTTCTTGAGTAATTGTATTATGAAGATTTTTTATACGTAAGCTCTAAGGATTTTTACTTACTTCCGATGTATGTGAATTGTGTGCGATGTGGTGTTGTACTTCGCTTGAGGAACATCGCTTCTGAGTTTCCGGCAATGGTCTTCCAACAAACGTTGGAGAACACGGGTTCCGTCTTTCCATTTCAGGGCAGTTCTGGAACAAAAAATACTCGTATTCGGCGCTGTATGCGGTGATGTTTTCAAGGAATAAATTAAGATGGGGGTCCAACATGCGCATTTAATAAAGTAATATTACATCCTTTAACCCTACATTTCTCAATCTATCTATAGCCGCTAGATAACAAATTAACAGTATTACAGAAAACTAGTTCTTCCTTTTTAGAAAACATACTCAAATTGGTTTTGGTGTTGATGGAAAGAACGTACTTTGGTGTCATCCTGCAGGAGATTCCAGCCTTTGAATCTCGAAGCAAGTGATTTGCTTTTCAGTGTAAATAAACCAAGAATATATTTCCCCTTCTAATACACTGCCTGCACTAACAATTCAATCCACAGCTGAAGAATATACATGAATATCTTGCAGTTCAAAGCGTATCAAAACAACATAGAGCTTCCTTCATGACAGACATATTCTACTCCAGTCGCAAATGCCTCATAATCATATAAGAAAATTTACTTCTTACTTTCTCTGAACTTAGTGACAATCTATAGTCTAAGCAAAATCGGTTTTTGATCTCACGAAATAAATTCATCTAAGAAGCACTTTTTGGACTATTTATGCTAAAGCATGAAAATAGGACTTTTTAATATTTCAAAAAAATGGTGTATGATAAAACAGTTCTAATTTTATTTTGGTAATCAGTAAATAAAAATACATAAGAATGTGATGAAATTGTAAACTTAAAATTGCTGTTGAACAATGTAGTGAGAATATGAACAGATATTGGAATAGATGACTGTCACGCATAATGAGGACATATTACAAACTATAAGAGATTTAACTTGATGCACACTTCATAAGTATGATATGGTCTGTTAAGGTTAGAGCCATTCCAAAGATGTACGAGATTAGTGTAGATGGCGAGAAGATTCTTACAAGTTCGTAACAAAACTTGCAAAATTGAGGTGGAAACGCTTTAGCTTAAAACAACAGGCCCTAAGACAATGAGATATGGTGTCACGCCGTTTCCCCTTCACCCCGATCTCCAACACACACATTAATTTCTTCGCAATACTTACATGAGAACAATGGATCGGGAACTAAGTACTACGATTTAAATGAAAAGTATGAAACAATGAAATATCTCATCTTCGTCAACTTACATTTATTAAGATAGTCAGCTTTGATAGCTTTATCGTCATCAGTCAAAAATGTACAACAAACACACAAACTCTTAAAATTTAATAAAAATAAGATAATACAAATAATCAAAAGAATACAAAAAATAAAATAAACAGTAGTACCGCATGAACTACAATGGGTGAACTACAATGGGTCTTTTAGAATGGATACTATGAGGGTTGGGGCAGAAGTCAAGGCAACTACTTTTTGTCTAAAAGAAATGACATCAAATCGCACAATTTTATTTGCCTCGTGAAAGAAATGCTAAACTGTAAAATGTGAGTTTAAAACAACAGATGGCTAAGTGAGAGTCTCTATTAGCACAGAGAGCAATGTGAAACCAGTTGTCTGACTGCGACAGTACGAGGTGAATGTAAACCGTTTCGATCAGCGCTCATACACAAAGATGCCCGTTGTCCATGGGAGAAATGCCCGAGGATGTTACAGAAAATTGGTGGAGGCTCTTGGGAATAATATCCTTCCATACCGGACAGTCGTGCGATAGCCAGGAGAATTTGAGAGAAGAAGCTTGCTGACCTGTGATCAGCAACGCCCATGACAGCCTGTGAGTATGCGGATCGATGTGTCACGTGTGGTAATCGAGCATCTGCCTAACCAGATCTTTAGAAAAGGTATGTAATGCTTTTGGAATGTTGTTAACTCGGTTATACTATAATGCTTTGGAACATGAAATCAGCTCGGTCATTAAAATTCCTTAATAAATATGAGAAGCCCAATTTTAGCGTGTTGTTAAACGTCCATGCGCTAGTTCTTATCTTGTCCTTTCATGTGAATATTTCACATTTTCATGCTCCTATTCTCACAAAAAAACGTTGCCATGACTTATGTCCCAACCCTCGTATTAAATAGCATAACCATTCCGTATTTTAAGAAGCAACAATTCTAAAGTGAAGCATTTTCGCTAAGTTGAAAGTGGTAAGCCGTGTTGTCATTTTTATGCTGTATAAACCATATTTGTTGTGTTTCTGCTTCAATGTCCAAATCTCCCGACGGAATTTGGCAACAGTTTTGTTAAGAAGTATTTATCATTATTCTTACCGTTATTTTTCACTCTACGAATTCATCGGTTCGTTTTAGCAGAGTTTCGTATACATAGACCTATCTTTAAGCTTGATATTACATTAATTTCCAAATTGTAACTTAAAATGTTCATTTCCCAGGCAATGGGTGTCCTATGACATTCGGCATTTGCCTGTAACATGTACAAAGCTCAATAATGATAATAATAATAATAATAATAAGAAGAAGAAGAAGAAGAAGAAGAAGAAGAAGCAGAAGAAGAAGAAGAAGAAAATTGATGAAATCATTCTATTAATCGGAACTCCCAGCGAGCATAACAGAGTGAATATGAATTGCAGGCTTCGCACTTCATCCACGAATCACATCAGTTCGCAAGGCGACTATAACAACCTGCACTAGGTTTAGTGGGGAATCAAATGTAATTGATGCTCTTCCTCTGAACGGAAATTTCTAAATTGTTGGGCTCGCTATAGTAAAGGGGCTGGAGTCTTTGGAAAGACGCAATGAACCAATGCATTGTTTTCACAGGGAAAGAGTTTATCGCTCATATTTTGATATTAGCAGTAGCTTATCGTGGAGATTGTCATCGCGCCAAAACACCCACACTCCCTCAAGGGAAAATTGCGCCGCCACCTCCTCCCCTCCCTTCCCTGGAGACAGAGCCGCGCCTGCGCTCATCAGCCGTGAGCTTCCCCTGTCACGTGGCACGCGTGATAAATGACACGCCCACCGCCGATGCCATCACCTGTCGTTGCCTCGTCCTTTGCGGTGAGCCCCGACCTGCGATGGCTTCTCGCTTAGTTGACATGAAACGTGATCATCGATCGTATAGGATTTTTTTTTGTTTTCTTTTTGTACTTCGGTCGTGTTGATGTAGACGTGACAATACGTAGTCTTAATGAAAAATTGGAACCTTCGGTATCAATTTTGTGTCCGCTTTGTGTGTTTAGATATATTGTGGTTAATCGGGTGTTAGTCATTTCGAAAGTGAAATTTGAGAAGTATTTCGAAAGAGAAAGAAACATTTCACGTAACCTTTGTTTTAAATAATAATTACAGACTGATATTTGGTGGCTAACTCCCGCTAGACGATTTTCCTGACTTCGTCACGAATGGGTCGGGGTGCGAGGGGTGGGTTGGCCATCCCACCCTAATCATAAAATGTATTTATGAGTTTTTGAACCGCACTGCCATGATGGGGAAGCTAAATACATAGACCGGCAGAAGCTTCAATACAAGAATTAAACAATATTTGCATGCATGGAAACACAATACAAACAGATCGCACTTTGCGACACTTTGCCTCATAAACAGAAGCTACACTTTTCACACTGACTCAGGCATCAAAATTCTTGAATTAGAACGTTCATTCTGGAACAGGAGTGCTATAGAATCGTTTCACATTTTTCAATACACTCAGAAATCTGAAACTCTCCTCAATGAACAATCTTCCCTGTTTCCATGTAGCTATATTACACTCCCCTGCCCCATCTACTTCCCCGCCTTCTGAGATATTTCCAAGAAGACACGATCCACACCTCCTGAGACTTGAAGCCCTAAAAACACATTTAAACCCCGTTTCCAACTTTCCTCGGTCTCCTGATCTTCACCGCAAATAGCTAGGAAAGCAGCACATTTTATAATTTTTCTTTTTGAAGTTTCATTTAATATTGTTTTAAAAAAGTCTGTATTTTAATTTCTTTATTTGTATTATTTAAAAATGTTAGTCCCATTGTAGTTCTTGTGCTACGGTAATTTTGACATCCGCCATTTGTTATCCGTGCAGTGTGATTCTCAAAGATTTCAATGTATGGCTCACAAATTGCCCGCGGTTGTTGCCATGTTTATGAGACTCAATTGCAATTTGTAAATCTGAAAAGTATTTCCGAGTGATTATCATGTCTCACACCCTAAATCTACATTTATTTCGTAGGTTACATACTTCGAGTATAATCAGAACTATGTGGCTGGATTGAAGGAATTTAAGCCATTATGAACCACGAACTATTTTTCAAGGAAATCACCCCCAGGTAAAATCTCACTCTCTCTGCCGCATCTGATAAGTGGAAAAGGGCCCGTCTATTCGGAGAGGCAGAAAACCGTAGAGAGAAAATCCGTCGTCAGAACACGACTACAGACTACACTCTACAGGGAACTGTTTTAATAAGCTCTATACCACAACCTAAATTTTTATCAGACATCGAAAAAATCTTGAAATTACGTAACAACTAGTATTTATAAGTAGAAAATATTCTGGATTAATCATGTCAGTTATTTAAAACCTAATTTAATCATAAGTGAGGTTTTAAACCCTTTTAAACTCGCTAACGGTGATATACGACATTGTTGCTTCCTATTTTGCGTACGACAATCACCACCTGAAACAAAAACTTGTCCGCAACTCTCCTCGTACGTTTCGCATTCACTGTGCCCACCTAACTGCACCTACGTGTTAGAGATTCGTGTTGCTAGGCGCGTCGACTGCATTCTACAAACAGCAGGTAACGGTCTTCCACGCTACGTGAGATCCGGTGCTAACCTGCACATCGACCTTCCGTCGTTTTCTCCTCCATGCACCTCCCCACAAGCTCTAAGCACCTGGTCGGTCCCCCGACGTGTGTGTAAGTATAGAGCATGTGAGTGTGTGTGTGTGTGAAGGGTGGATGAGGGGACAAAGTCAAGGAAGAGAAGATTGCGCCGTGATTGATTGATTTTTTTTATTATTTCGAGTTTTTGGATGCGTCAAATGCTTAGTCATTATTCCCGTAAAATGTAGTGCTCGATTTCCATGAAACATGGTTGTTTTATTC